TATTTTGAGCAACGCCTTTCTAGGAATCTCAAGACCTTCAAGGTAATACTTTCTTTTTTTTTCAGCTGAACAATGCATGGCAATAGTTTTTTCGCCGCATTCGAAATGTGTTCTGTCGCTATGCTGAATCAGAAGCATCACTGAAGCATTCTAAGCAATTCGTTAACTGAGGATGTGCATTTTTGATGAATCAATTGAAGAAATAAAATGAATAAACTTGAATTGAATCGAAGAAAATTGAAGAAATAAACTTGAATTGAATCGAAGAAATAAACTCCTCATTGTTTGTACTGTACTTTTCGGCTTTCATTTAAAGCACTTCTCCTCTAAAATCAGCGAACAGATTGCGGACTAGCCCGTACACTTGAATGATCACCAGATCATTACCTAACATGAATTTCTCGAAAACTGATGATCCCTACAAGGATATCGTTAGTTACTTGAAGAGATGAATACCGACGATTGAAGAGTGTGACAGGAGCGATATTGATGATGGTAGAGGCATATATCCATGCATTATGAGGTGTAATTGTTGGAAAGCTAAATTGATAGTCACATTTTTGTTATTCGCGATCCACTGAAATAACATGTGTTGGTGACATCCCGCGATCAAATCTCTTCAGCATCTAACATAAGCAACTCAATGAAACTTCAAGCAAAATGATCGAATGGAATTTATATTTTAGAAGACACTGCTTTTGCTCAGCAATCTTGCGAACCCAAACTCGACTTCAATATTATGGTTTCAATCCTTTCTCAATTGGACTAAATCCGTAGAATGCAGCCAACTAGTTGACTGTTGCAAAATCAGAGCAATAAAAGAAAACGTTAAAAATGTTAGTGATTTTTAGTTTGTCTTTCAAATGCTTGCCATTTATTTGCATTCGTTTTCTTTGCTTTTCATCGTGCGTCTTTGATCAGTCCGTTGTAACATTTTTTCGTTTCAGCTTCTATTCATGTTTCATCAGGCAGAAAGATGATGGAATGTCAAATATTTGAAAACATTCATGTTTCTCCTTTCAAACAATATCATCATTTCTCAACAAATTCAACAAGCCCAACAAAACTGCACAATTTCTGAAGATCACAACCAAAATTGATCGCATTGGTCATCGGCGACATGCACTTTCACTCTAGCATGATGAAGAACATCCCTTAGATATGAGCACAATTATAATAAAGAGTGATATTTCAGTTGCCGACATCACGAACACTGTCCAAATGCTTTGTGAAGTTTGCTCAAAATCAATCTTTACCCTTTCAAAAATTAGAACAGTTCTCAGCTGATACACTCGATGGACCCATTTTCGACAGAAACAATCAACTGGTCGCATATTTCCTAATCCAACCGACCCAATTCTTTATGTCAGATCTATACCATGAGATGAAGCCATTTTTTGAGCTCGTCGAACGTGCAAAAACAACATTGTCCAGTAATGTTTCAGCCAATTCAGGTTGGTTACTTCGAAAGAACTTTGCCCCAGTCTTGCATTTTAAATCCATAACCATTACTGGCGGTCTACATACTGATTCCATAAATTCAGTTTTTTTCAATTCAGTTCAGTGTCCAACTGCATGTTGCACAAACTTCAAAATGATCAATGACATGATGATGTTCCCTTCTAAGGTGTAATGCTAAAAAAGGGGGTTCTTTCTTTCCCAACCAGTTTAACTAGGATAAATAAGGTGACTGTATTGGTGATTTATCAAGCTGAACTGCTCCTTCCAACTGAACTGGAATACGATAGGTCAGAGCTCATTGCAAAAGGAGAAACGAACTAGTTCTTTTGAGGATGAAAGTGCTGTCTGCCTTCCTAGTTAAGCCGAACCCATCATCTGATGGATACTCGGGGAAATGGATGAAAACTTTCAGTTCGTTCATACATCCACGAATTTTGTAGGACTGAATGCGCCAATGCTACAGTCATCATCAATTGACCTAACAGCGATGTACGACCTTCTTGATCACTTACTGAGTGGAACTGCTTTATCAGTTGTTTTATCACTCGTCATATCCACAGCAGTGCTTATTTCGACCACATTTCACCTCGTCATCTCTTTTGCAGCCATTTTCTCCATATCAATCGTTATCCTTTTGACATTTGCGATCGTTTTATGGTGTGGTAAGTTTTTAAAAAACAATGTATAAGTCTCATTTTGTGGTATGATTTTAATCAGCAATTATGCATTTTGAAGTAGTCCCTGTGTATCTGAGCTGCTTTCTTTAATATGATTTCATATGAGAGAAGAAGCCGGAGCAGTGATTATAGCGAATAATTTCAGGCTGGTCGATAAATGTTGTCGAAGCAACGTTAATTGTGCTAACAATTGGTCTCAGTTTCGATTACTCACTACACGTGGCCGTTTCGTTCAAACTGAGCAAACGTCACGATTTCAAGTGAATTCTTTCATCTGTTTTGATATTCTTTTATTTTGATATTCTTTTAACATTCTGCATATTTTTGATATTCTGATACTTTTGATATTCTGCTCTTTCATCGCTCATACGTTTGATCGAGAGCGTTGAATGGTTTTTGCTTGATAAAATTTTCTGGAGCCTTTTCAAATAGATGAGGAAACGCTCACTTGCAGGAGTGTTTCATCAACAGTTGGTGTGCCGGTACTGCTGGCCGCAGTTTCGTCGTTCTTGGCCGGTTTCGCAATGATATTTGCACAGACTCAACCGTTCTTCGAGATCGGCTTCTTTTTAATGATTATGACTTCGTTGAGTATTGTCATCGCTTTATTGGTGTTACCATCCATACTCACTATTGCATTTCAACCGTTCCTCACAAGAATCACACCACTTTAGTGTTCAATATTGAACGTATGAAGACGATAAACTGTTTTCCTCCTTGATTGCTTTGATCGAGCTATCAAACCTTCAACTATCAAAACGTGCTGTCCACATGTTTCTGAATTTACACATTTGAACACTCGTACAGTGCACACTTCATTGATATCATTTTCATTTCGTTACGCATATGAATCATTCCCTATCGGCGGACAATCACGACAACATGTTCTGCATACTTCGGTCAATCACTCGAAGTTTTTGTTCATCTGTTCAATTGGAGTGTATTTTTGGGGATTACGTCAAGCTTCTCTTCCTAGAAATCATTCGTTAGGACGGGGAATTAGTCTTTACTCTGACCCTCAAGCCATTAATCGGATCGCAATTTCATGAAAACAGATCATTTCCTACGCAACATCGACAAATATCTGGAAATAAAGATGACGTGATGATAAAGACAACACAATGTGATTTTTGTGATGAGGTTGACGAAAATGGAAAGGCATAGACTTGTAATGAGCTACTGCAAATGCCGATTGAATAAATAACTGGAACATTTTGAATATCATTTAATCTCTGCTGGAATGTAAGCGTTGATCAGTGGATTGTATGCAAAACAATGCAAGATATGTAAATCAGTAATGAGTGGATATCATAAATCCATGATAGCCTCTATTCATAAAGTTTTTGATGTGAACGGCGGTCGGTCGGTCAATGGCACGAAATGAGCGACCACGTACGAGCTTGTACGTTCGCTTCATTGTTGTTCTCAAAACTAAGTAGCATTTGAGTACGCCAACTGAAGCATGCAGCCATAGATGCAAATGCAGAGGTTTCGATTGCATTTCTAGTAGATCTGATAAACTGAACATTACATTACAAGCACTCTCAAATGCGCGAATTCAGCCTGAATCGTTTGCTACATCTTTTCTCAAGAAAAGGTCAAGATGAATTTGCTGCGGGTGTTATTGAAGCGAAAAGACTGGCGGATCATGTTAAAGAGAAAGGCGTTATCGGTGACTGGAAGGTAGAAAAAGTGATCGGAGCAGGTAAACAGATCGCACTGATGTTTATCAATATCGAGATTGATTATCATACTGCACTTCAGCAGCAATCTACTTCGAATGAAACATACCAAAAACTCGAAGCATACGATAGAATCGCGACGTTTCTGAAGTGCAGACTAGAAAACATTGGTGTCGGCACCGACATAAAATCGCAACCTTCAAATTTTGACTCTGTTGAAGAAATAATCGCTCATCAGTAGCGTTCATCAAAATCAATCATCTACAAATCATTTAAGCATGTTCTCCACCATGTTAATGAAAGTTTGTTCATTTTATATTTCATTTAGGTGCGAACGGTTTGGTGGCATTGGTTGTTCATAGAAAGACTGAACAAAACGCCGTTATGAAACTCGCAATGAATCTCCCGTCGTCGGGTTCACTCTACTGGGAATGCGATGTGCTCGAACGTATTATGCAGGTTTAGATGAATTTGCGTTTGCCCGACGTATCGACGACGAAATCAGTCCACATGAATAATACTCCAGCCTATCCATCCATCTCAAATAGATAGCGCAGTCGCGTTCATTCATACAAATTGATCACTATAGATCAATCACTAAAAATTTTTCCAAAATGGAATACTCACATATTTCATTACAGTTTATGCACACAGAATAATATTTCAGTTTGTTTGAATGCTTCACGTTTAACATGAATAACAGCTTTTCATTTATACAGATGATGTCCATAGGATATTCTCATCATTATGCTAGTTTTGATATCATTCCAGCCTAATAATAACGAGGATCGCACTCGGCATTTGGTTCGTCTGGTTGACCGCGGCCATACACTGAATATGGATAATCAAGAAGTAATACTTCATGATAATCTCTCTAATCACATCGTTAAAGTGATGCTTTTTCGAGTTCACAAACTATTGCTTCCTTTCTCAAAACATATTTTGAAATCAACTAAGTGATATCCATCTGAACGCTGTTTCATTGATCACTCAGTTCAAACTATCAACGATTTTTCAGGTTGGTTATATCGTTCTCGAGAGTCTGCCCGGTAATCCAGTTGGGTTACTTGGTGCATTATCTGGTGATGCTCTCATCTCGAAAGTTGCTGAATTTGGTCTTCAATTACTGAAGGTTAGACCGGAAATTGGTGATGTTGAGGAACACGAACAGCTTCACCCGCCACTGCATTGTAATTTAAGGCTCTGTACGATCTGCATTACCTCGGTTTCGTACATCGTGATGTAAAGCCCGAGAATATCGGTCTGTATCATGATGAAGTATTGGTGCTTTATGACCTGGGTCTGGCAAGATTTTTTACAACTAAAGAAGGCAACGTTCGTGGACCTCGCAGTAATATCGTTATGTGTGGTACGGACGAATGGGCGAGTCTTAATGCTGAGCTGGGCAGAGATCAGGTTCATTGCTCAAAGCGTTCCAGAACATTTGTTTATAACACCCACTAAAAACGAAAAGGGTTAAAGCATGCTTGCACCAGTTCGAATAGCTATCTTCGAATCCAAACAGTTCATCCATAAATGCGAACAAATCGATCAAATTGCTCAAAAACTCTACTTGTGGTTGATCACCTCGACTTTCAGCGGTCATATGAAGTGGGAATCCCGCAATGTGTTCAGATGGAAACCGAAATAATAGTCAAATTGGAAAAAAGTATTATGAACAAAAACTAAATGAAAGATGTTTGTTTGTGAGAGTGTAATATTTGAAGGGTCGCGTAGATGATCTATGGGGATGGTTTTATGTTCTAATTGAATGGATGAACTGCACCTCAAAGTATCCGCTCTGTTGGTCACCATTCGAAGATGAAGCAGACGTGAGGCATTTCTGTAAATCTAGCTTATTTCCCGCAAAATACGTTCTCCGCAATTGTCCGCCAGAATTCTACACAATTCAGGTGCTGAAGAATTTTTTTTTTAGTTGCAGTTTCTTGTTCCATGATGAAATGTGCGTTGATGGGACATTGGAATGCGGAAAACATTAAGCAAAACAATTCATCCGACATATACATTCAAAGGATGCTTCGTGGAAGGGTAAAGGAAATCAGTCCCCAAGCCAATCCTAATATTCGCACCTAAATCGTCAACTTTGTTCGTTGTATCTTGCGTTGTTGTACCAACGCAATATGCCCCGCCGCTTCAATGATTTAAAAATCTCAAGTCTATTCAATTCAGTCAATGTTGAACACCACATAATCCTTCGTTTCCACTAGTTCAGATCAATTGATAAGATTTTAATGTTTTGCAGAGTTATTTACGATGTCTGAGCCGTGATGAATCACCGGATTATTTGTATTTGGCACGCCTGCTTCTACAGACTAAGAGACGAGCTGACGGAGCTTCCATACCCGTAACTCCACCAGCAATCAACGAAGACGATGAGAAATGGGAGCGACGAATCAAATGCCTGGAAATGCTATACAATTGAAGAATGCATTTTGTGTCATTGGAGCATTTGATTTCCACATTGCACATTTCACTCCGAACTTACAGGCATTTTGAGTTAGAGCAATTGATATCACTTTCTTTCTGTTGATTTGTTTGGTAAGGAAGAATTTTTTTTTCGATTTTATTCGTTGGAAACATTCCGGGTGATAGAACAACCGTGATGACTTATTTTACTGGGCACTTCGTTACTTCATTCAAGATGCGGACTAAAATTAAGAATAACGTTNCGTATTTGTGAAATTCACCTCAGATATAGTTGTACCCGTGCGCCAGTATTTGTACCTTAACTTTTGTCGAAAACGATTCATACCGATACAGGCCATTTCAAATTAAACACATTCATTTTCCGATACTTCGTTTGGATTTATTATTTCATATGTTGTGGAAAGAACACAAACGAAATGATTAATGTGGATGAATACAAGTGAGAAAATTCCATCGCAAAACTACGATCACCATAAAAATGTTATAAATACAATGAAGCAAAACCCGAATATTACCTGCGACGTGAATAGATTATTCATTTTTGAAATTTGGTTCCATTTCACAATTCGATGAATTTCAAAAAGTTTTCGACTTCATCGTTATTTAACCTCAACATAATTAAAACCCTTCATTTGTGTTGTTGTGTTTTTCGACAAAAAATAAAAAATAAAAATAAAAACGTTGAATTTTTAAGGACTAATGTCTGGGAATGAGATTGATTACAATTGGTAACTATGTACAACAATATAAAACATATAAATAAGCATGCAACCATAATGAACAATACAAATATTATGTCATGACATGCCGTCAAGACACCGCCAGCTATACAGTATTTGCGTGAGATTCTTCGTTGCCCAGCCAGTGAAGGTGTTCCGATGCGGCGGGTGCTTCATCAGGATCCATACTTGTGAAACCACCATCCGCATTGCTGCATTCGACGTCCTCTTCATCGTTTACGCCACCTCAAATTGTGGTTCAGTTTAATTTGATTCACGGAAACATTCGTTCACTTGCCAGTCTATGAAATTAACCATATTTCTGAAGATACTGAACTGCACATACACCATACATGTGTACGTTCTTAAAGTGATAACGCAAAAAATTCAAAAAACGATCCCCATTGCTTAATGTTAAGGCAGAAAACCAAGTTGTACGAAAGGCCTGCACAATAGACTAGTCAAGTAGCACATTCAGAACAGACAAAAACTTTCGCCAAAAAGGACGTTGAAATATGTTTTGCGCTATATGCAGATTCATCCAGTTCGATGGGGACAAGAGAATGAACACTGAGGCAGCAACGAGAATAACCGTCGGCGACATTTTTCAGAATTTACGATGGAGAGTAAAGAAGAAAACAATTCCTCTAATCTTGCTCTCCTGCATATGCGGTTGCATTGATCACGCTTATGAATATTTCTCAACTCAACAAACATTCTATGAATGAATGACTGCTGAATGAATACGTATAAGAGCGTTCTCACAATGTGCTCAACAAAATTATGAACGATCATATTTTGCATTTTGTGAAGCTTGATTACATCTACTGACTTCATTTGGACATGACTATCGAATGAATGAACAACTATGGGATATGTCCAGATTGGAATCTGATAATTTGTTTTACAGTGTATCACCTCTTTGCTTCGGCGGGAAGCATTTGTCGGTCATTTCACGAATTTTATCACCATACTGGGCACGATAGTCGATAACCTTCGACTCGTCTCCTCGATGCACAGCCTTCACATGTTTTAACACATCTGATTTTGTTATCGTAGTCCATGTTTTATTGCATGGCTGGCAATAGAATAGCGGCAATCGCAGATGTCTGAAAATTGAAGAGAAGAGCATTAAAATTTAAAAATCTGAAACAAAATTTGAACAAAACCTGAAAATTGAAGCCAACTTTATGAAGTTGATCCTCATGGGGAATTTTGAACATTGCAATGAATGAAACTGATGTTTCTGAATTGTTTTGGTATTCGATAATCACAGATCCCTCCATATTTCATCATTCAATGAAACTTGATATCATTACTGTCATTTCCAAAATATCTCGAATGGTATTCGTTGCAGTACACCTCATATAGACTAGTGTGTTGCATGAAGCGGGGAATTTCGGGGACACCGTGCCCGTTTCTCAATGCCCGTCTCAGTCTCAGACCTTTTTCCTTCCCTCAACACACCAACATAGGATGTCAAATTGGAATTGAGATCCTTAACTCTTTCGTGAGATACCAGGAATGACTGTTTTTAAATTCAAGTACGGATGGAATATCGCTTGCTTTTACGATAATATTCTACATCTGACAATATAAAAGAAGAATTAACAAAGCAAAAAGCTGAAATGTTCAAGTAACAAACTTTGAATTGGCGTGATAGACCAATGAAGAGCGTTGTCCGGTCACCTGTAAGCCGCATTCCGTACAAGTTCGTGGTGGACGTCTCCGTTTTGATATGCCACCGCTGGCAGCATTCTGCGACGATGTTGACGGTTGCGTGGACGTTTCGGTCGCGAAGAAACTGCCTTGTGGCAGATCAGCGGTCATTTGAGTATCGAAATGTTTCATGGCCACATCGAACCGACAAAGTGAACCACCGCTCTCATGTGGCACTACCTCGCTATAAGCGCCATTGCCTACAAAGTCGATACTATTCGATGGTTTTAATCACCACTTTGTATTTGCTTTTTTCAGAATCCACATTCATCTATCGAATAAATGCAATCTTATTAAGACACAATCGTTGATGACAGATTAAGAGAATATTAAGTTTTTATTCACTGCGTTAATTTCCCCACAACGACTTCAACTTCATGCTGGAAACGTGAAAATAAATGGTTTGTTTCAATAGACTATACCATAAGTTTGATAATTGTTACTGAGAGTTATTTCACCAGTTGCTGCCACAACAACATGCTGGCCAAGATCTTTCTCTGTGGTGCCACAGCTTTTCTCTGAGCTGCAATCAACCTGGAAGAGCATTTTCCGAAATGATGCGTAAATAGCCAGAAATCAGATTTTGATTACGGATTCTGATTGGATCATCAAATAGAGTAACTGAACGAATAATTTTTCAGAATGCAATGTTCTTGATCGATTGCTATGACCGCACAATCGATCACATAGAGGAAATGATTTTCTGACCTTCACAAGCTCTGGTTTGATGGTTCTATCCGATTCACAGGTTCGAGGTGTACCTTCCGGATCGGGTGAACTACACGGCGAAAGTACTGCTGACGTAGCGCTTTGTACCACTTCGACGGCTGATGTCCTGAACAATCACGGGATAGATGAAATGTGCACAAATTCGTTTCTGTTGATAAGCTGAGCATGAGATTGCTTTGTTTACGTGCATAGGACCAAGGTGGTTAATGAGTTCGGTGATGATTCGTTTCATTGACCCACCGTTTTCTCTTCGATGATTTCGCGTTCGCATTACAGTCAGAAATGTTCAAGGATTTCTGAAGAAGTTCCTTGACAAGTTGTCGTTTACGACCACTTTCCGGTGTCACCTTGTACTTCACCTGTAGTTTCGGGATTCGAGACACCTGTTTTGAACTGTTCAAAAAATATGTCTCACAGATTAACTGAAGTGCAAAGAGCTTACTTGTAGCACTATCAGTTCTGCTTAAAGATTTATGCACTAGGATGATCTGCATTAGGCAAATTTCGTGTCATTGTGAGAATGAAAAATTTGGTTATTCGATACAGCCAGTTATTGATCAGTCGATACAGTTATTCGATCGACTTCCATTCATCGATCCGAATCAGACAAAACCATCATGTATTGATAGAATCTGTTTCAAAAATTTAAGAATTCTAGCATAACTTCGAACGTACGTAGAACTCCTTCAAGCCATGATCGTTTCTGTAATGGCTGTGTAGGGCGAATTCGGTTGGGAATCTGGAGAAGCGGCATTTCTCGCATTCATACGGCACATAATTGATGTGATCCGATGCTATATGTATTTCAAGCTCTTCAGTGTTGGCATATGTTGGAGCATCTGGAGCACATCCGGCGCAATGTAACGTCATCAGCACTCAGCCTTCAATGACCAAACTGATTCAGAAGCGGACCGTTGATTCCATGGACGCTCAGAGTTATGGGCGCTCAAAAGACTGCAGCAAAATTTAGCATTCACTATACTGTTGAATTGTTGATTCATTGAACAATGATGAGTTTGTTTTGAATTTGACTTTCGGATTTGTTTTGGAATGACCGTTAAATGGGTTCATTGCACAATAAAACTTCAGTACAGAAGACAACGCAAAGGACGTAAAATTGCCAAAACACATAGTGACGACAGAATTTGACCCCAAAAAAATATCGAGAAAAAACTCGAACTTCAAAAATGTCTTGAAATTGAAAACAACGGATAAACGTCTTTGCATCGACTTCCACTCTACAAACACTGTTTAAGCTGAATTTATGGACGACTTGCCAACAGCCTCTTTTTTACGTTGCCAAAATTTTCTTCAAAAGTGCTCACAAGTGCAACATATGTTTTGAATTTGCAACTTACAAATTCATACGTTCATTCGTTGAGCAATTCTGACATCTCTAAATGATGTGTTCAGTTAAAATACCGAGCAACTCTCAATGTATCATCGAATCAGTCTATTTGTTGGCATCCAAATCAAACTCCTCCTCGTCAAGAAATGCACATCAGCCAGTAGCACAATGCAAAAAAGGCACCGAATATTTGTATGATCAACAATCAAAAATCACTGATTACGACGGCAATAACCCTAAAAATACAAGTGAAATGAATAATCGTAGCGAACTCTTAAAATCTAAAGGTGAAATGCTATTATAGTAACGGAACAACAATTAGGAATAATGATTGAGAGTATAAAGGAGAGCGCATAAAATTGATAATGTGATTTGAATTAATGCTGTGACTAGTTGGTGAGGGTTCAACGAACAATGCTCGCTCGTGTTTATGGCTTGGGCGTGTGTGAGAGAGTCTATTCAGTACTCAATTGTTCCACATTCTGAATGATGAATTAATAAACTAAGCAAAACTATACATCACATGCACATATGTTTTTGCTAATCGATCAATAGACAGAGTATAGAAGTTATTATTGGTCGAGAGCGAAGAGGAACGGATGAGGCAATGGAGAATGTTTATGTGATGCCAGTTGAGGCGAACCACTGAGGTTCAGTGATGAATTATTGAGGAATCAATCGTGAGATGCAAAACGGAAGTGTTATTGGGGCCGACATATGAATGACTGACTGATTTCGAATGCTACCGATGAATTGGTCTGAATTTTCGATGAACGGGGTCGGTGGTAATGAGAATAATGACGATGAATGACGGATAAGCAGTGCTAACGGACACAAACAAATGAATTTGCAACGAAACAATAATAAAGCATTCAATGATTTTGCGTCCATACAATTCATTCA